GCGTGTCTACATTGGATAGTGGTATGTAATAACAATCTCTTCCATAAAATTTTCCTTCAAGAAATGATACAATTGTAAAGGTCTAATGGTTTTGTCTGATGTTTTCATGAAGAAATGACTGAGGACAACGGGAACCCGATTTGGAAGAACCGGGTGGAAAGTTGGAAAGAAAAGAAGAACAAGAAGAAAAAGCCCGCAAAAACCAAGACTGACACAGAAGCTCAAGTCCCACCTGAGCAACAAATGGAAGATAAACCGTTAGTATTTAACTGAAAAGTAGATTAATGATAAGATTCTATTTAGTGCAGTGTTTGTGTTTATGTTAAGTCTTACTGATATATAACATTTGCATTTGCAGGGCATCGGATGCCTCCCAGCCCCTCTCGACTATAATTCCAATTCCGAAAAGCAGACTTGCACCGTACCGAACTGTGATCGTTATGCGATTGATCATTCTTGGTCTTTTCTTCCATTATCGAGTAACCAATCCTGTCGACAGTGCTTTTCCCCTGTGGTTGACTTCAGTCATATGTGAAATCTGGTTTGCCTTTTCCTGGGTGTTGGATCAGTTCCCTAAGTGGTATCCTATTAACAGGGAAACATACATTGACAGGCTATCTGCAAGGTACAAATCTGTGAATCTCAGACATATCATTGATGATGCTAGTAACATGAGTTATCTTACTTCATCTGATTCATTATCATAACTATGAAATATACGGTTTGTTACTAAGCTAGTTTGTATCAATTACTAGTGAAAAATGTATCTGAGATGGAATTTGTTTTTCGGGGACCATGGCAGATACGAAAGAGAAGGTGAACCTTCTGAACTTGCTGCAGTGGACTTCTTTGTGAGTACTGTGGATCCATTGAAAGAACCTCCATTGATCACTGCCAATACCGTGCTTTCCATCCTTGCCCTGGACTACCCTGTGGATAAGGTCTCTTGTTATGTATCTGACGATGGTGCCGCAATGCTGTCATTTGAATCTCTAGTTGAAACGGCTGACTTTGCAAGAAAGTGGGTTCCATTCTGCAAAAAGTTCTCCATTGAACCACGGGCACCGGAATTTTACTTCTCGCAGAAGATTGATTACTTGAAGGACAAAGTGCAGCCCTCTTTCGTAAAAGAACGTAGAGCAATGAAAGTACGTTCCTCAAGCTTTCTTTTGCTACATTTCTTGAATATCTGGAGCACTGTAATATTAGAAGTTATAGGGCTCAATACCATACGTTATTTAATAATATATCATTTTGATTCGATTGCAGAGAGACTATGAAGAGTTCAAAATCCGGATTAATGCACTAGTTGCCAAGGCTCAGAAAACACCTGAAGAAGGATGGACAATGCAAGACGGAACGCCTTGGCCAGGAAATAACACGCGTGATCACCCTGGCATGATTCAGGTGTTCCTTGGATATAGTGGTGCCCGTGACATGGAAGGAAATGAACTTCCCCGACTGGTTTATGTCTCTAGAGAGAAGAGACCGGGTTACCAACACCACAAAAAAGCTGGTGCTGAAAATGCTTTGGTGAGTAATACTTATCATAATACCTGGATGCATGAAAAATCTTAAATATTCTCTTGCGATTTGCAACTTACATGAATGACTTGTTACAGGTTCGGGTGTCTGCAGTTCTTACAAATGCTCCATACATCCTCAATCTCGATTGTGATCACTATGTTAACAATAGTAAGGCAGTAAGGGAGGCAATGTGCTTCCTGATGGACCCGCAAGTCGGTCGAGATGTATGCTATGTGCAGTTTCCTCAAAGATTTGATGGCATAGATAGGAGTGATCGATATGCCAATCGCAACACGGTTTTCTTCGATGTAAGATATAACCTAAACCATTTTTCTTCTTGATTTAGTTATAAGCATAATGCTCTTGAGCTCTGACAATTCTTCTGAATTCTCAACTTCAGGTTAACATGAAAGGACTTGATGGAATTCAAGGACCAGTTTATGTCGGAACAGGTTGTGTTTTCAATAGGCAAGCACTTTATGGCTATGGACCACCGTCAATGCCCAGCTTGCCCAAGTCCTCTTCCTCATCTTGCTCATGGTGTGGCAGCTGCTCATGCTGCTGCCCGGCCAAGAAGGAACCTAAAGATCCATCAGAGCTTTATAGGGATGCAAAACGAGAAGAACTCATGCTGCTATTTTTAACCTTAGAGAAATCGAAAGTAAGTCTAAAATCTTTCAGAAAATTGAAGTTAGACTTATACTTTACTGAGCCATTGTTGAATTGTTGACATATCTCCGGTTTTGTTCCTGCAGACTATGATGAGTATGAAAGATCAATGCTGATCTCTCAAACAAGCTTCGAGAAAACTTTCGGTTTATCTTCGGTCTTCATTGAATCGACACTAATGGAGAATGGAGGTGTGGCTGAATCTGCCAACCCTTCGACACTAATCAAGGAAGCAATTCATGTCATTAGTTGCAGTTATGAAGAGAAGACTGCATGGGGAAAAGAGGTTGAAATTTTTTAAATGAAACATAAAATGCTCTAAGCTCATTTTAAACTTCATTCTCCTTGCTTATGATCTATATGTTTGTTCAGATCGGATGGATATACGGTTCGGTCACCGAAGATATCTTAACTGGTTTCAAAATGCACTGCCGAGGATGGAGATCGATTTACTGCATGCCCTTAAGGCCAGCATTCAAAGGATCTGCACCAATCAATCTGTCTGATCGGCTGCACCAGGTTCTTCGATGGGCTCTTGGATCGGTCGAAATTTTCCTAAGCGGCATTGTCCTCTATGGTATGGCTTTGGAGGCGGTCGTCTTAAATGGCTTCAAAGGCTAGCATATATCAACACCATTGTCTATCCTTTCACATCCCTTCCTCTCGTTGCCTATTGTTCTCTGCCTGCAATCTGTCTTCTCACTGGAAAATTCATCATACCGACGGTAATGATTGCTAGTAATTCATGCGTTCTTATTTAGTTTTCAATACCATTAGAGCTTACGTTGCTTCACATTGTCTAATATGATGATCAGCTCTCAAACCTGGCAAGCGTTCTCTTTCTTGGCCTTTTCATGTCCATTATTGTGACTGCTGTGCTCGAGCTCCGATGGAGCGGTGTCAGCATCGGGGACTTATGGCGTAACGAGCAGTTTTGGGTCATCGGAGGTGTTTCAGCCCATCTCTTTGCAGTCTTCCAAGGTATACTGAAGATGCTGGCAGGTATTGACACCAACTTCACTGTCACTGCCAAAGCAGCCGATGATGCAGAGTTTGGTGAGCTCTACATTGTGAAATGGACGACACTTTTGATCCCGCCGACGACACTTCTCATCGTCAACATGGTCGGTGTCGTAGCCGGGTTCTCCGACGCACTCAACAAAGGGTACGAAGCTTGGGGGCCACTCTTTGGCAAAGTGTTCTTTTCATTCTGGGTCATCCTACATCTTTATCCATTCCTCAAAGGTCTCATGGGTAGACAAAACAGGACACCAACCATCGTTGTTCTTTGGTCGGTACTGTTGGCTTCCGTGTTCTCCCTTGTTTGGGTCCGGATCAACCCGTTTGTCAACACCGGCAACAGCACCGCCCTGACGTCTAGCTGCATTTCCATTGATTGCTGATGATATGTTATTGTCTTTCTCAAAAGTGAACCATTGCATGTAAGTGGACTGAAAGACGTGTATGTTCTAAGTTTTTAACAAGTTTGCGTGTGACCATTTTGTTCTCAGAAGTGTAAGTGTTTCTAGGCAATGCTATAAGCTATTTTCCATTGAAATTACTTGAAATGAATTGTTTTAGTCTGCATATTATGCCCGTTCTAATTTCAGTTCATATTCATAAGAGTAAACCCCTAGGCACGGATGGTTACAAACATGTTGTAAAATTTGATCTAAAAACTTTCAACCATTTGACAATGAACTCTCTAATGGTTAAACCTAAAACTTTTAAGAATAACGATAATTTATATAACCTTTGAAATAGCTTAATTCGTGTTTTTTTTATATTTTCATTAATAAAATTCATTTACTCTTAAAATTTTATAAAATCTCACTTAATATAAAATGTTTCGTGCGTCCTTTACCTTAAATATTCCATGGGAGACGTAATGACAACGAAAACAAGATCATAAGCCCACACATGATTAAGAATGTGTGGGAAGTTGCATAAAATTCTAGTGTAAATATTAAGAAAAGAATCATGATAACACCTGGATTTCTAAAGTAGCAAAACTAAAGTTTGTAGCCTTAATATTGCTTTGTCCATTTTTATAGTTAATAACTGGTTCTGATGGTAATTATATGGATTTATTAATTATAATTTAAGTCGTTAATACAAAAAAAAAACATTTGTCCCATGAATGAAGTTCCCTTGCAATAAACAAGTTAAAAGCCTTACAAGGTAACCAAGGGTCCATCTTCCTTTTCCTATGTTTTCCTTGTAATTTAGAAAAGGTTGGACCAAATGGAAAAATTACCACTTCGGTAGTGTGCGGATGGAAGAGGAAGCTGGAAACCACGTAAATCCAGCTTACAAATGCATATTGGGATAAAGCAACTTTTGTCCCTGGATTTGACATTCATTTCCAATTTGATCCTTAGTTTCTTTTAATTCATATTAACCCCTAAACTTGAAGACTTTTTAACCCCTTTTTATGATGCAACACTCTGAAATGTAATATTCTTAGAGTACCATATCATCGAAAGGACCAAATATAAGAAATGTTGTTAAATTCAGGGACTAATATGAAAAACGTTTATAGGTCAAATTTAAAAAATGATAGTACTTAGGGACTAAAAACTGATTTACACCAGATATATTATATATGCATTTTTAACCGACAAGCTTTTAGATTTGGTCTTTAAAAATTATTTAATTTACTTTATGAAATTACCTACGTGGAAAAAGTTAAAAAATTATTACTTTGACCCTTGTTGTTTGTTTGTCGTACACCCCAAGAATGAATAACATAAAATCTCGTATTACTTATATATATATAAACATAACTCCTTTGTTGTCTTTTCTCTCCACTAAACTCCCCAAGTTCCAACATCACTGAAAACTCACACACTTCCGACCATGAAACCACCACCTTCGTCACTTAACTCAGCACCATTCTTCCTTCTTCTCCTCCACCTTGCCGTCTCCTCCGTCGCTCCCACCACTGAAACACCTTCTTCCTCCTCCTCCTCCTCTACTCTAGACCCCAAACAAATTGAAGCACTTGCTTCCCTCAACATTCCCACCGCAAGAGACCCTTGCATTCAACCTTCGCCTCACAAAGCCACCGTATGCGACAGGTCCGAACCCTTCCGCCACCTTGTTTCCCTCCACCTCTTCAACTGCTCCGCCGATCTTTCCCTCTCCTTCACAGCTCTTAAATCCCTCTCTTCACTTCATTCACTTTCCTTCACTAACTGTCACACTTCCCCTATCCGTTTCCCTTCCGATCTCGCCCTTTCCCTCACTTATTTCTCTTGCATTCTCTCCTTCCGCCGCCTCACCGGCGTCTGGCTCTCGCGTTTCGTTAACCTCACAGATCTCACAGTTTCTTTCACCCCGGTTAACACCACTGGCCTTTATGTGATCCTTGGGAATATGCACAAGTTGAAGACTTTAACCATTTCTCATGCTAATCTCACCAGTTCACTTCCGAGACACCTGCGTCAGAATCTAACCCATGTTGATTTGTCTGATAACAAGCTCAAAGGAAACATACCACCTTCCATTACCCTTCTTGAAGATCTTGAGTACTTGAACCTTTCTTCAAATGGCCTACATGGGGTGATTCCAACTCAGTTTGGTGACTTGATATCATTAGAGAATCTATCTTTGGCTTCCAATTCATTTTCTGGGTCAATCCCAGATTCAATATCAGCTATAACAGGCTTGGTTCATGTTGATCTGAGTAATAACCAGTTCAATGGCACTGTCCCAAGGTTTTTCTCAGAGTTGAAAGGCTTGAAAGTGTTGAAACTTGAGAACAATGAGCTTCATGGGGTTTTGCCTTTCAATGCTAGTTTCATGAAGAAACTAGATGTTTTCAAGGTTGGTGGGAATAGCAATTTGTGTTACAATCATTCTGTTATATCATCAAAATTGAAGCTTGGGATTGCTCCTTGTGATAGTGATTCTTCAGATTATGATGAGGGTGATAATGCAGATGACACAGGTGAAAAGAAGGATCAACATCATGGGCCAAATAAGGTTGTTCTTGGTGTTGCAATTGGCCTTTCTTCAATAGTTTTCCTTATTGTTTTCTTAATTCTTCTCTCAAAATGGTGTGGTTGAAAACAGTAATTTTGGTTCTTGATTATATTTTTAGACTAGGGGGGAAATTGGTTATTAGAGTTTTCATTTATTTATTATTGAAATTTGATACACTTGATTTATGATAAATGAAGAAGGAAAAAGATAGCTATAGCCAATAGGTGGGGTTTTGAGAGAGGAAATAGTGTGCTATTCTTGTTTTGCTGATATTTTTTGTCATTTAAAGGTTAAAACACAATGATTAATGTGTTATTGTTTTGACCTGAAAAGTCGTGTATTCAACACCATTTTGGTGATTTTATCCTCTCTGGTGTCATTAATTGTGCTTTACTTTGATTCTGTTTGTTGTCCAAACCGTGTATTTAACATTAATCTAAAGTTTACATGATCTCTTATTTAAATCCATTTCGGTTTGGTACTTGTTAGGCGACTAAACATTTTTCAGCCGAATGATCTTCGTACATATAATGAATTATGACGTGCCCCACTGGAGTTTACAGGATTGTTGTTTCCTTCATATCGTGCCGATCGGAAGGATAACGATGCCTTTAGTATGCTGGACTATCTTTCTCAATTGCTATGAACTTGGAGGTAATTATTAAAGCCAAGTTGTTGGTGGTGGTGGTGGTGGTGGATGAAGTTGTAGATGTTAGATTATTGAGATAAAAGTAGTTTTGATGGTTGGACCCATGTTTCTATTTAGCTGTGTAATGGTCTAAGGTACCGGCGAAATTTGAAGTTTCGTAGTTAAGAGTACTTAATATCCGGTATTTCCCGGCTCGAAGACGTTCTGCAACTTTCTCGGCTAATTCAACATCATTTTAAATCCTGCAACCGCAAAGCAGAGATCCCCAGATTGTAGCATCTGGTGCAATAGGCTATCATTCAATGAATTCACATGCCTTGGAAAGATTACCGGTCCGGGAAAGATCTACCATACAGGCATAGCTCTTATACTAGTCGAAATGTACAGATTTAGTCCTCTATTTTTATTTGGTGGCAGTTTTTATCTTCTGCCATTGAAGGATCTGCAAATTACTCTCTGCATTTGATTAGAAGTTTGCAACTGGAAGAGACGAAACATGCAGAGAAAGATATAGAAAACCCAACTTCATTGACATTTCAAAACGGTTACCCTCAAAAAGAGTTCTACAAAAGGGAGAAACTAAAACTTAAGGGTTGAAAGGAAATTCAAGTAAACAGAAACAATTTGACTGATGAAGAGGCAGCTGGGACTAACTCCTCGGTATAGGGTTTTCAGTGTTTCATGTTATGGGGTGTGATTGCGTTCTTTGTTCACGTCCCAGTGTCAAGTTGCTTCCTTTGAGCTTTGGGGCCTATGGTGCTTTGGGCTAAGAAACAAAAGAGAGAATATGAAGGGGAAAGTGGACCATTCTCATGACATAGCTGGGATGATAATGGACCGGGGACGGAATAGAACGGATTTTTAGACGTCCAGATTTTGATCTGAATTTTAAGATTTTTTTTGTTACCCTCCCCGGTTTTGAGGTTTCACCTTGACCAATTCGAATCGACCCGAGTCGTACACCTGACTTTGGTAGGTGAGTCTCCCAACAAGGATTTTCTGCATACACAATGACTCGAACTTGAGATATTACTTAACCGATATTAAGTTGTTTACTACTTGAATCAACATCTGTTGCCATTTAATTTTAATATAATTTAATTTGACTCTGAATCTCACCCCACATAATAAAAATATAATTTAATTCTGATTTGACATTAAAATTTAATAAAAACTTGATCTAATCGAATCGATCTTAAAATATCAATAAATAACCTAAGATATGTTATATAAAAATTATTATAAAAATAAAAGATGATACTTTGTTAAATATATAGGGGAGGAACGCGATTGATTTCACCTACATTTGACCCTAACCAATCCAAAAAAAGTAACAATGAAAATATTTGACTTCTTATCAAAATAAATAATTTCAATATGATCAAATCGAATTAAAATTCATCGAGGTCGGGGAAAATTATATATAACCTAAATTTTGAAAAGTGACTTAGTGACGTAGAAACAAACTTTTAAAAGTTTTGTATAAAGTGTAATTTTAAATTTAACTATTTGAAATTTTTGTAAAAAAATGAGTTTAAAAAGATAAAAATGTCTATTACAGAAATTTAAAATATAACATTTAAATTATATTTATACTTATATATCAATCATATCAATTTAAACTATAATAAAAATATATAAAATATATAATTAAAATAAATATATATTTTATAATAACTCACTATTAATATTTTAATATATAAATTATGAATTTTATTTACTTTTAAGTAATTAAAATAAATTATTAAATAATAAATTATTTTTAAGGATGATATTATTAAATTATTAAAATAAAATGTAAATACATAATTGAGTGGGCTTACTAATAATTATAATTTGCTTTCAAACGTAAAGTTAAAATAAAAAAATAGAAATCTTAACTTTTGTGATTGGTTTGAAATCACCGTTTTCACTGTAATATTTTTTTTCATTTTTTTTCAATTTAACATTGATTTTACGGTTAAAATAGACTTTTTAACCAAACGGGACCTAAGTGTTAAAGCAAACTTTTCTTTTGTTTTAACCTAAATTTGGTTTCCGTTTAAGTGTTAATCAAACTTTTATTTTGTTTTATTTTAGGGTTAATTTCACTAAACATCCTCAAACTATAACCTAAATTATAAATTAGTCATTCCGCTAACTTGTACTTCAAGTTCAATATATGTTCAAATAATCAAATTTGCCTTAAAAGCAAATTATTTTTTTTATTAATCTAAAGTGATTACAAGTGGTAGTATATGTTATAAAGACTATCAACTATTTGACAATGAACACTTAAAAATTGCAGTCGCTGGTGCTCGAATCCAAACTTTCTAAGGACAACAATTATCCATTTATTCACTGAGATCGCTTGATTCGTGCCCTTAGAACATTTTTAAAATAAGTGATCTAGATTAAAAATGTATCTATCATATGAACTATATGGATATGACTAAAAATAATAATCCTCCTAAATTATAATGATATCGTCTATCTGTTAATACATCAAATCCAAGTCACCCGTACACTAATTACACTTGTTTATGATTTGATCACTTCATGTTGAACCGACATTTAACCGCTAAACTAATAACTAGACTAATGAAAGAACCTAATCGATACTGAAACTTAAAGGAGTCAACAGAATGTTTTGAAGTTTATGAACCAATTTTAAATATACATTACAATTTAAGGACGTGTGATGGAATTAACCCTTGTTCTTGGGTGAATATAAACCAAAGTTTGACATAAAAATCAGAATACATGTAGAGCAATTTTTTTTAATAATAATTTGGGATAAATATATAGTAATATTTGTTCAAAGATAACTCTCAACCTTTTGATATTGATCGCTCATACTCCTGACATCTATGGTACTCGAATCAGGGTCCTCAAAGAATAACAATTATTCTTTTACCACGAAAGTCACTTAGTTCATGCCTGTAGAGCAAATTTGTTATTGCAAAAAGTATTGTTCATCGAACTGTGTCAGACCAAATATGTGAATACATTCTGTACATATGGGATTTCCATAATGAATTTGGCAAAACGTTTCCCATTAACACAGCCTAAGCCATCTTGTTCAAGCTTTAACCTTATGCTCAAAGGCCAGATATCAACAACTTAATGCCAACACCTATGGCTTTAAGCATATGCTTATATGTGTGTTGAAAACCCCAAAAAAAAACAAAAACAAAAATAACTTCACCAAGAAGTTATGTCATATCCACTCGAATTCCACAGGAGAAACAGACAAAACATGCAGGCGAACAAAGCTGGTGCAGAGGAAGAACATGCTTTTGCTAAAACATATTCACACGAAAGAACCATGGTAGTACAAAGGTCATTACCAGGCATGCCATCAGGGAGTTACAGAATGGCCGCCCACGCCAACATCCTGCACGTCGTTCTGAGAAGGTCATACCACCACTCGTGGATCCTTGGCCATGCCAATCTTCGATAAATCTGTTATGTCTAATACCGCTGATGTTTTCTGCGGTTTGGCCACAAATTTCGCAAATTCTGCAGAAAAAAAATTAAACATCAGAAGGTATATATAGGTGAATTGCAAAATTTGTTGTGCTTGCAAGTTATTACTCAAGTATCAAATGTTTGGGTACGGTAGAACGGTTGCTTCTTACTTATACGTAGACCAAATAAAAACCATTGTTTCATGCTTATTAAGCAAACAAAATTTGTGAAAACCTTAGAAATGTCTACCCTTGCCTATGTCGGATACACCCAAGCCTGAGTTACGAATCAAATAATAATAATTCCAAACACAACTAGAGCAAAGAAAAAGTAAAACCAGACCAGACCCTACATATATCAATGAACACCTAGCACAAATCGGCAAGGTACTTATTGCAAAGCATTAAGCAGAAAGATTGCATATTTTCCGCAATGAGGGCTTGAGTCAGATCCTACACCTTCATTACCAGAGAAAGAACATTACCTGTTTCCTTTCAGCTTAAACCATGCCTCTGCACAATGACTGTGTGCACCTCCTAGCTCATCTTTGCACCCACAACCAAGTTGAATTAGATCTGTAACAGCTTCTGCAGTTGATGCACTATCAGTAGATTCAAGTAATTGCTCAGAATTCAAATGACAAATTCTACAAACTCTTTCCCCATCACAACTCTCGCTAAACTGTCTTTGGCCACTACCACTTCCCTTTATATCAATCACACAGGATTCCTCTGCTTCAGCAACTTTTGACTTCGGTCCTTCTGCCGATACTTTACTTGAACTGAGTCCATTGTTTTCCACTTCGTATTTCCCATTACCTCCTTCCACACAAGCTGCCTCTTGGGTGTTAATCACAACAGTGTTGTCGAACACAAATCCACCAACTGAATTATTCAAACTCCCACTATCTGCTTGATAAACTCGATCCATTGTTTCAACTCCTATAATTTCGTTCGTCTCCTCGTTAATCAATTCCCTGCTTGCTTCAACCAACCCCTCACTTGATGCCACTACTTTGCTTTTCTCCCCCAAATTCTTTTCCTCATTCTTAAGCACATTTCCATTAACTAAACTACTCGAATTCCCGCCACTCCGAAAATCCATCTCATGATTCTTACAGGACCCAAAGCCATCATTTTGCAATCTAAAATCCGCAATTTCTCCATCAAAACAGATTTTTTCTTCAGAGTTTTTCACAATGACAGTTTCAGACACAACTCCATTAACATCTTCCCCAAGCTTACTCAAATTCTCACTAGTCCCTATGCAATCACCCCTTTTCTCTTGATCCATTAATCTCAGCTAACTACACCCCCTCCAAAATAATCAAAAACAAAGGCAATAAGCATGCATACCAGCAATCATATAATGTAAAAGATCCAACATTTTACCAGCAATCATATAATGTAAAAGATCCAACATTTTCTCCATCTTAAAACCAAATTCAGATACCACAAACAAGGTGATCAAACTACTTTTCATGCTCATACACCCCCAAAGAATCCAAAAAGACATGATCACAAAAGTCGAAATAACAAAAACAAGAGCTTATTAATCAAGTCAAAGTAATAAAAATGGAACCTTTGTTAACTTCCAAAACAACCCAGAATCAGATCCTTACCTACTTTTGATCACTTCGATTCCAAGCAAAATCCAAAACCTAAGAATTGTAATGGAGGAAGATTACAGCAAAACGGGTTCAAATGGTATAAAATAATCAGACACTTTCTCCATTAAAATACAAATAAATTGTGAGAATCTATACATAGATATATTGGCTTAAAGAGGGTGGAAGAGATTAGGTGTAGAAAGGAACTTGAAACGAAAATGGTATAAGAATGAAAATGGGTTGAGTGAAGATTACCTAAATATTGACTAAAATTAGTTAAAAATTAAAATGATAATAATTTGAGGTGAAAAAGGAATGTTTTTTTGGAAGAATTTTCATTTTTGGTTTCAGTGTTATATAAGTAAAACTTATCTTGATGGGTTAGGCAAAAATTTGGGAATGTTCATTTTATATGCAAAAATTACTTTGTGTGATTTTATGATAATATTTTTTGTTTTAATTTTAAATAAATGTGTATTTATTATAAATAATATTATTCGAATTAAGGTCATTTAAAAAAGTACATTTTTCATTCTTTGAATCCAAATTTTTAACTTTTTTAATTAATTATTTTTATAGATATTAGTTTAATTCTTATAAAAAATTAATTCTTACTGGAAAAAGAAAATCTCAAATTCTTATTCTTAGTTAAATGGTCCACTAATAGTAGTTAACAATACATGGTTAGTTTTAAAATAAATTATCTATTTAATCATTAAATTATAAGATTAATTTTGTTATGATTTCTGAATAAAAAATATATAAATTAAATCACCAAACATTAACATTCGGAACACACTGAATTACAAACATTAACCATTTCTAGCGTATACATTAGAAGAAGTATAAAAACGTACAAAGTGGTTTAAGACAGTACACTCCTAACATGGTTTGATTTTGGGGGCATGTTCAGTACCATATAGGAGATTTCCCATGTACAAATTGATGGGGAAAGCTTACAGTTTGTATTTCGGGGGTCCGGAAAGATGGATTGCTTGGATGATCCTTCATGAATGTCGCCGTGATTCGGGGCCAAGTTATATGCTCTGCTCCCGCAATGGTTTGTTCTACCGGACCTTCAAGACTTGAGACATGTTGGGGCGAAGGTGTCGCTGTGATCGAGTCTACGGCAGCGCCAACTCTGCTGCATCAGAGCATCCTTTCAAGTCCCTATCCACTGCCATGTAATGTTATCAACCATGAAGTATATGCAAGGTGTTCTTATAACCAAGGCCAAAGCATACATCGGTTTAAGCAAAGCACCAATGCAATCATAATCTTAAACATACTCTGCAACTATGTTCAGACAGAGAATGCCAAGGGAAGTTGTTTCCTGATATACTACACAATGAAAAACAACACGGAGCTTCAAGTGAAAGAAACTGATTTAACAGCAAGATTGTTCCCAACATTGATGAAGAAACGTCAGACAGCACTCCAGCTAACTTCGATGAGTTAAGAGAGCCTCAAGATTTCGGACTCACTCTGAAAAACCGGTTACCGGAAACACTGAGAATTTGAAGATACGATAGCATCCCTATCTCATCTGGGATGGGACCTGACATCTGAAATACTACGAGGCATCTCAATCAAGCTGAAAAATATTCACAAGAATTTTTCATGTCCTTAGTACGATGACAAGTAAGGTTTACTCCGTGGAATAACCTTGTAATTTCCAAGTGAATTAAAGCGAACATTACTAAAACTAAATTCAGAGAAACAACTCGAGCATCCTTCCAACAAGAACATAAGGAAATCAACTTCTATGACTACATCATCGTAAAAGAACCTACTCTCTCATTGATTGCATGTTACCACCAAATGTTTATCCTTTACAGAATTGCGTCCCAAACTAGATGCTACCAACATTTAGAACCTATGCTATCCGGACTCTTTATTTTTTTTAAATACTCGTATCCAACACTTGTGTCTTAAAACATATATTGGAATATGACCACTGAGGATCCTCCAAATACATCGAAAATTTAAATAAAATCCCGTATTAGATACATATCATATCCTACACTCGAAACCAAGTAACTAAGTTTAGAATACCCCATAAAAATAATCCTACACACTACTAAAACATCAACTAAAGTAGCAAAAACGATCGCATTACATGCTAAAGCAACGACAAAAAGAGAAGCTAAAGTTTTTGACTTTGGCAAACGAAAGTAAGGCCAAAATATACCGACAGGTAAGTTTGAATCAGCTAAAGTACTTTGGGTTTTTATATTGAATTACATCTGTTTGCAGCGCTTTGCTTTTAGATCTTCGGCTCAATAAATTAATATTTTCGAGTACCAACGAAAAGGCCATATATTTCGACTATAAAAATGTTACTCGAAACACGTGAAATGACAGAGATTGTCGTTTTTTTCATAATTTTGATGCTATACTCTTTTCTGTTTGGGTTTCTGTCTGATTTCAGTTAGCTATGGGCCGTTGATATGATTATTGATCAGAAGATCAACGGTCCGTAAATGGTTGAAATGTTTTTTGAGCATACATTATTACTACATAAAATACTTACGCCGTGAGTGCCGAGACTGGTTCGAATTTCGTGTTGCGGGAAGTTTTTGTATTTCTTCAAGGTGGTCCTCGGTTTCAACGGCGCCGTTTCATTTCACTTAACATATTTTTCAGTAATAAACGAGATAACTACAAGAAGCATCCTCAAACCATAACTCAAATCTTGAATTAGTCTCAAAACTTTCAATACATTTCTAATTACCAATCAAGTATTTTTCATTAGTTTTGTGCATGAAATATTAATTCAAACATAACACAAACATACTTAAAACATATCAAATTTTAAACACATTTGTACTTGTTACATAACCTCTAAACTTTAATGATATCTTTTCCTTTAACATATTAAATAATACAATAAGTGTCACGACTCGAAAGAATACTAATCTTGCGTCAAAATAAATAAATAAAAAGAGGAATTACTGCTTAAAAACAATAGAACTGCACGTATTATCATTCATATATTTTAAGCAAAAACTTAGTAACTAAAGAAAGGAGAGTGGTCCCTTAATTTTCCAATTTCACTTCACAATTAATTCCTTTTGGAGTATAATAACATCATCATTCAAAATTTAAATCTATTATTTATTCGGATTAAGATTAATTATACCAAACGTCTTTATGTCTAAATTTTGAAAGACTTCTGCTGCAGTTAACCCTAATCCGAATTAACAAGTGGCATAATTTTTCAATAATAACAGCATTATACTCGAAAGGGGGTGGAAGGTTTGAACAACTTATGTGAATGAGAGAAAATGAAGCAAAGGGGATTAGAAAAATGGTGAAAAAGGAACAAAGAAAAGGGTCTTAATCAGACGATTAGTTGGGAAACATTGAAACAGGGAACCAGCTCAGCTCAGTCTCTTTTTGACGACCAAAAAGAAAACAAACGTATTGGTGATTAACGCACGGGAGGGACCCTTAAGTGCTAAACGATAAAGACTAAGGACCTAAGAGCATCTACTTTTTTGACGAAATATGCAGCAATCATTCACCCTAAAACATCATTACAAGACTTTTCCTACTATGCCTCATAATGACACTCCAACAAACAAAACACCAAACTGCACAGCCACTATGATTGATCAGATTTCATTTCATTTCGATATGTCTGTTACCTTTTTTAACCTTTGGCTGAGTCACACCGAGTCGTGTTTCCACCATGGCAGCTTTTTCTTGAGCTTAGCAGCCATTTTGTGAGTACTAGAAAAAGAGGGTAAATGACATTACTTGGCACAAACAAATAACGATGGTTCTGCAATTTCATGTCTTTAAACGAACCCAAAAACCAACTTGGAATAAACTATCAGAGCTAACAACAGATACACTCAAAACTTTTTCCTTCATAAACAGCTTTTCAGGTTTCGTCCAACCCTAACCTTAAAAGTCTTGTCTTTTACTATCAAGCATGTTTACATGTACATACCAAAGGCGGCATTTTGCCAAAAGAAAGTGAACTCATAAAGGAGCGAGAGAGGGAGAATTCCAAGTAGAAAGATAATAAGAAGGCAGCCATTCAGCGGCCAGAGACTGTACGCGTGGCGGAAGAGTAGAAAATGATGCTCGATGGCTGTTACCAAAGATAGTAATGCCTCTGTGTCACGCATCAACTAGGAGATATCAAATCTTATTTAATCACGTTTGAAGTATTATGTCCCGGCTGGATGCATGATATTTTGTAGCCCCATTCGCCGCTTCACGTGATCTGGAATCAACTTATTTATAAGCTCCGTTGAAGCTCCAGATAACTGAAACAAGCACAAAAATGACTATCAGAGCATTGACTCGAACAAGAAACAAAACCCTAACTAGAAAATAATCCCATCTAAAATACTCAATGAAGATATAACTTTCTATGAATGGAAAGTATATCAAAGTGAAGTTTAGTTGAGAAACATACTTCCTGTTTGAAGTTAAAGAGTGGCGGTAATGGTCGCCCGTTCGGAAGGCGAGCATTAGGTTCTCGAAGCTCATCAAAGAAGGGATGTACACACGCTTCAAGCTGTCAAAGCAAAGAGGAAAAAACATATTAGCCAAATGGACAATTGGGTATATTTTCCATGTCTAAAATGAAAATATCACCCATCAAAAACAGGGAGAACACTAGCAACTCACCGCTGTACAGCGTAGACTTGGCGAGTATTGGAGTAGTCGTGAAGCAAGATCAATTGCTTCAGGAGGCATCCTTTTATGAAAAACCTAAATATGTAAAAGAGTTAATGTAACTCAAAATCAATCAAATAATTTTGCCCCCAAAGACATTGGCAGTGAAACATCTAAGGGGGGAAATCAACAAACAATTCAGAAGCAAAATATCAAGAAGGCATTAATGAAGTTTTGACAAGATGCCAATGAAACAAGTATCAAATTTGCATATCTAGATAAGGGAAATAAAGGGCAAACCTTATGCCATGGATGCGCTTTAATCTGTGGGAACCTAAAATCTGTGTAATTGGGATTCATACAGCGAATTTCTTCCCTAGTGGGTGTACCTAGGACCTGTAGGACAAGATGTAAGAAACAGACTCGATACACAAAAATTGCAAACTTCAACCATCTCCAAGCAAGTCATACCTTAATAATCTCTACAAGCTGGTCCACGGCATTTTCTCCAGGAAACAATGGCTACACATGAGAAAAATAGGCATTAGTGTTATTGCTACATATCAAAATAAGGAAAAAGAAAAGCCAAATGCTAACCTGACCCAGCAAAAGTTCAGCAAGAACACAACCAGCTGACCAAATATCAATTGAGGTTGTGTATTCCGTAGCACCAAAGATGAGCTCTGGTGCACGATAGAAACGTGAACATATGTATGAAATGTTAGCTTCACCTCTGACCTGATAGAAATAAATTAGTAGAACTTGTAAGCATGAAAGTAATTACGGAGAAAAAAGAAAGAAAGAGAGGATCACTAACACGTTAATACTACTATTAGACCTAATCTAACTTCAGGGAGTACAGATATAATTTATTTATTTTTGGTAAAAATCCCACCCAAGTTCCAACCATTCTTTTCAGATAGCTAAATAAAGTGGCAGAGCTATCAAGGGAATACATCAGCATGCGAAACCACTTAAGAGCAATACTTTGCACCCTTAACAAATAGCATATGATATTACATGAAGTGAATCCTTTTAGAACTTACAACTCGAATAAAAAATTCAAATAAAACATAACAAAAATCTTATGTAAGTTTTGGAAACTTACAGACTCAAAAACAATGTTTCACTCGGAGAAAAACTAATTGATTGGCTAGAAAGTCTATCACAAAAAAATAAAAATAAATAACACTTTGGAAATTATAATAGAGTCAACTTACAAGAACTTTTGCACTTCCAAAATCACAAATCTTAACCTGATGAGTCAAAGGATCAACCTGTAGAGAACCAAAAAATTACCTCAAGAGCATTGCCAAAACATTCTACAAAAATCATCGGTAAGAAAAGCATACCAAAAGATTTTGAGGCTTCAAATCACGATGGCAAACTCCAACAACACTATGGAGGTATGCAAGCCCCCTGAATATCTGTAAAACCTCCACTAATTAGCATAAAGCGAGAAAATTACACGAGAAATCAAGCACGGAAAGAAATACTATGCACACCTGGTACGTGTAAAGTTTCACATAGATAAGTGGCATTCTTTGATTCGCACTGCTGTAATGTTTCAAAACCCTATACATGCTCTCTGGTACATATTCCATAACCAAGTTAAGGAAGAGCTCATCCTTGGTTGTTGTGGAAAAGAAACAATGCTTCAAGGAAATCACATTCGGATGATCCAGCACACGCATCAATTGCAGTTCACGATTCTTGTATCTTCTGTCTTGCAAAACCTTCTTTATAGCCACAGTTTCTCCTGTTTCCAAGCATTTTGCCTTGAAAAAAAAATATGCATCGTCATGTGAAACATCAACAAGAAAACATTGACTACTTTTAATACTATGTCTCAGTACCTGGAAAACAATTCCGAACGATCCAGTCCCCACAATGCGCTCCGCCATATAACTAATAGTCTAAAATAAGCAAAACATCAAAAAAAGCATGAACTTCAAAGTAAAATAAGCTGATAATCACTCCCAACAGTCATTTTTAAGCGCTTATTAGTCAATAGCAAAGCAGAATTTGAACACATACGAAACCAGGTATCCTGGAAAGACATATACCTGTTTAGGTTCTCCATTTTTGCCTCCGATTGTAGTGGAAATGATGTGACCAGTGACAGGATCCTTCCCATCCACAACAGGGGCAGACATTTCCTGGTAAATTCATGGCAAGTAAAAAAAGAGAAGTAAGAGTTTAAAGCGACACAAATACCGGAGATCCAAATGAACCATCCCAACTCCAAAAAGTAAAACAAAATCAAACCCATAAATTGGTTTAAGCTGCACATAAAGTATTATAAATCAATCAAATAATTCAAAAATGAAAGTTGCAAAATGCAGAGAGGAGACCACAGATCGAAACAAATACAGACCAAAATTTCATGCTCAATAGACGATACAATAAAAAAGTAAAAATAAAAGATCAGTAAACCAAAACTTGTTTCGTTTGAAACCCATAGGAAAACAACCAGAGAAATAAATAAATAAATAAATAAATAAATAAACCCCATAAATCTCATAAAATCACGAAAGCTGAACCCTTTAGTTTAGGCTAAGCTTAGTCAGGATTTTCAGCTGCAATTGCAGACCCAGGACGAAAAAGAAGAAGGGGAAGCTATGAAAAATCGCATCAAAAGAAAAACCCAAAAGGAAAAGAAAGGAAACCCAAGATTCACTTCCAGATTCCAATATCGGAACAAAAAGGCTGGGTTTACCTTATCATCAGCCATGAAGATCACCCAAGGAAAATAAACACAAAGATCTAATCGGAGAGAGTGTAACAGGAAGATTCACAGAAGGAGAAAAAAGAGAGAAGAAACAGTGAGATGATGAAGAAGAAGAAGAAAAATAAGAAAATTACAAGGCAGAGAAGAAAGGGGGAGAGAGACAAGCAAACTAATGCCCCATGTGATCCCACCACCTCCTTTATTTTAAAATATATATATATTTCTTTTCTTTTCTTTGCTTCTCGGCCCTCTTTTCTTTCTTTCCCTCTGCTTTCCGTTTTCTTCGCTCCCTTTTTTATTCTAGACTTCCGAAATCACTTTTCGATAATTTTCTTTATCTAATTTCTCAATCACTTTATTTATTAAATGGCTTAATGTAAAAGAAACTGGAAATTGTATTTAAAGTTAATTTTTTGTATTTAAAGAATTTTTTTGTTAAAAATATGTGTTTAATAATTTTTAGAATTTTAAGTATTTAACCAAAAAAATTTAATGAAAAAAAATTTAGACATTGAAAAATAACTTTGTATATAATTTGAAAAAAATTTTGTAGTAAGCCTTATTAAATTGTATATTATATTTTTCCAATAAAAATATTTAATAAATATTTTATTACAATTATTTACTTTATTTATTTCATTCATTAAATTAATTTTGATTTAAAATTAAATAATTAAAGGATAATTCTAATATCACTTATTATAAAATTATTATATATTTTTGGTTGAAGATTATTGTATTTTTAAAAATTATATGTTTGATATAATGTATAATATTATAATTTTAAAACTTTAAGATTTTTTCCTGTAGAATTAATATCTCTCATCCAATAAGGTACGAAATTGAAAAGTTCATTGTCGATAAAAGAATAAATCAAAACAGTAGAAATGTAAAAGCTTTCTTCTTTTACTGGTGGTTCAATTTTGAATCTCGTAATCATACCTTAAATATCATTTTTTTAATTAGTTAATTATTGGGTTCAAATATTTAAATGAGATTCAATTAATTAAGGCGAAGGCCAGACATTTGGTGGTCCAATGGCGACCTGCAGAAGACAGCTAACTATTGACTCAGATTCGTGATTCAGCTGTCCAACCTCTCCGGCAATCTCTCCCAGTATTCAATTCCGATTTGGATAAACTAAACTCAATTCTTCATCAACCTTATTAATGCAAAAAATAAGTAGCATAAAATATGCTACTAGTTTATGATTATAGAGTGTTTTTATTGAATCTTCTAATTATAAAAAAAGTATAAAATTATAATCCGATTTAAAAGAAAATATATAAATTGAGTATTTTTCGAAATAAATTTTAACGAAACAATAAAAATGTTTCATAATCACATGACTATTTATGTATTTTACCGATATTATATATAGAAAGGGCACAAGCTCATAGGTGTTTATTTCAATAATCAAATCCTATAGCAATGAAAAAGAGAAGCTTAACAGATTAAAATGCATGGAATTAAGGAGGAAAGATGTCAACAACTTATGATTGATAAAAAGAAACAAAGAATTGAGAAAGACTTGCCGGAAGTCGGTTCTTTAAAATCATTAGCATCCGAGAACGGATGATGATGCCCATCCATATGTTCGTCTGGCATATGCTTCATATGGCTATTAGCTTCCCTAAAATTTTCATAGGCGACTAGATAAGACTTCTCGAAATCATCAACGCTTGTTTCAATGAAATCTTCCATCTTCGCATCTGGCAAGCGTGCAATGTCTTTTTGCAATCGTTGAGTGACAGTCTTTGTCTGTTGAACCGAGGCCACTCATTTGGCCCAAGAATTATTGTATTTCTTGATTTCCTCTTGGAAGGGGAGGAGCGTGGCTTTCCCCATCTGCCATATCTAATAAATTCAAATTCTAGAAAATAAAGATTTATTTTAATTGACAGACGAGTAGGTCATTTATTATTTATAGCAAAGTATATTTGGTATCGAAATTTACGCTCTGATATTCTAGAGGTTCAACATTTGAGTCTGGATGTACAACAATTGTAAAGCCTTTGCTTTCAAATTCCATCTTAACCGTTGGTTGCTACTTTGGCTGTTGATCTGATCTTAAATATTAAAGACAAGCTCACTTGTGCTTTGTTTTCTTGTCCAACTTTTCTGTACAGTGATTCGTGTTTTAAACTAAACTCCCTCTAATGCATCCTTCCAACCCTTTAAGTGACACGTAGGCTGAAAGTATTCCATTCCAACCCTTCCAATGCCCATGCTGGACTCGGGTGCTTTGGCAGGCAGGCTCACTTTTTGCATTTGGATAGCTGGACTCGAGTGTCAAATGTAGAAGGATCTGAACCCGACACTGAAATGCATGCAGGAACACTATACGATTCTCCACCCTCTCTAATCTGATGTCAATGACACAAGACGACCACACCACATATTGTCATTTCTACTCTGCATTTTGGTAGGCAGCAAATTTCATGCATATTTAAAAACACCTCCACATGGATGCTGTGCTGCCTCATATTATAATAGAGAATTGGAAAAAAAAATCTACTATGTATATATTTACTGTAAACAGTACAAAAGTGCTAGAAAAAAAACGCTAAGGACCGGTTCTCAAACTCGACAGTTTTTTGGAACATTCTACCAAACCTAAAAGATATCACCTCACTATCTAACCTCTTTTCACTGTATTTTTCTCTTCTGTTTCTCACCGTTCCTGCTGCCTGCCATTTTACAATAAAATGTAATCACTGCCGGTTTCTAAGTAGTAAGCACTAGCTCTTAGGTGTTCATTTCAATAAGCAAATCATATAGCAATGAAAAAGAGAAACTTATCAAGATTAAAATGCATGGAATTACAGAGGGAAGATATCGACTTTCCATCAAGTTATAGGACTTACGCAAAAGCTGTGTACCCACTTCCAGCATTAGTGGCTGATAAAATAACTGTATGTCCTACTGCAGCAGATAGAGAATTATGTGTCAGGTAGTGGATTTCTTCTATCACTATCCACCTGAAAGTTAAATGAAACACCAAGAAAGTTTGGGTTCATGATATCACAAATAACTTATTCGGTACAGAGATGCACTGACAAGTAAAAACCTTATCCCATTTAGATTTCTTGTTTTGTCTACCATCTCGCACAATGTTATCCACTGCAGTTGGAGCTCAAGGCAATCCACCAGCACCCACAACTGAAAATCCTCAACATCACTTATAAGAATACCGTTGCACAATCCCAGAATACATACACTGATAAGAAAATATCTTAGGAAAAAAAAGAACACCTGCTGTAGGCATGCTAACTTTTGAGGCAGTAAAAACTGCTCCAGAGTGACTTCCACCAGATACAAAATCGACCTTTTGATTCTTCTTGCCCGTTCACATTGGTCGTACAGAAATGGAAAGTGACATCAAATCCGAAGATGATCACTGAAGTTCGGTAAATATAACAAGAGATAACAAAATTAGGAATATATTGTGGGAGAATCTTACTATATCCGGTGTGAATATCTATCTAAAGAAATAATCCTACTAATAGATGTAATTAGGTAGAATTATGATGTAATTCCTTGATTTAGGGGATTTATAATTAATTGAGTAAATCTTAGCCGTTGATGTAAAATGATTTGAGCCATTGATTGAGAGGGAGATCAACTTTAAATAGAGAGACTATCGTCCTCATTTGTATCATCCATTCTTTCATTCACTTTTTCATTCTCTTGGGAGAGAGTAATAAAGCTCTGAGCATTTACTCAATTTTCAGTGTTCTTTGTTCTCTTTGTGTTGTTGTCTATCTTGGTAGTCAGGAGTAACCACACTTTTGTTTTCACTTCCACACCATAGTCTAATCTTGACGGCTTGGAGTAATTACGTTGGTGTTAAAGCTTCCAAAAGCCGGAGATCCAAGCACCTATGTGATCCCGAAAAAGGCCACCAACTGATCCTATACCTGTCGTTGAAGAGATAGCAACATCAACATTCAAGCAAAGCCATCCTAAATTCGGTCTCATCCGTTTGGCGGGTTGTTGAAGTGCAAAGCCATCTTGGTTTGATTATCTCCAATCAGCAAAGGGAATAAAGGCTTTAGCCGGCGAACAATAATTTTGGATATCAGTTTGTAAAGAACCGTACACAAACTGATAGGTCAAAAGTTAGCGAAATATTCGGGATGATCCCTCTTTGGAATAAGGACAATAATAATGTTATTCAAAACTCACTCTAAAGGACTGCCACTGAATATTCGTTGGATCATTCTACAAATAGGCGGACCCACAATCCCCCATTGCTTCTGAAAGAACTCCATATGTAACCCGTCCCAACTGAGGGATTTTAGAGGAGTCATGTCCTTAAGAGCATCATGAATCTCTTGAGGAGAAGGGACCGAATCCAGGGTCAGAAGAAGGGCAGGATCAAGAGAGAAAAAGCACCCAAAATCGGAAACGGTCCAGCATTGTTGGAGTCGCTAGTGAACAGATTGGTAAAGAAATTTACTGCATCCTCTTTAAGGGTCGTATCATCGTTGCATCAATCACCATCATTGATTTTTAGGGATAAAATTATATTTCTTTGTTTTCTGTCAATAGCTCGCCGATGAAAATATTTGGTGTTGCGGTCACCAAGCAAAACCCAATCCGATCGGGACTTCTTCCTCCAAATAAGCTCTTCTTGGTCAAGTAAATTTTTAAGCTCGAAAATAAGAACATATTACAACTTGGGGAGACACGCTGAAGAACGAGCTTGAGTGGCCTTCTGAATACCACGGATACGAGACGTGAGGGTGCGCTTTTTAACTCAAATAAAACCAAAAACGCATTTGTTCCAATTGTCCGCTTCCGAAATGAAATTGGATAAGGTATCCGCCATGCAAGAAGAGAAGTTCCAATTTTCCGAGACCATCATACTGAAATCTTCATAAGAAAGCCACACAGAGATGTAGCAGAAAGGGCTATGGTTATTTCTCCTAGGAGAGTGACACACTTGCAAAAGCATTGGCCTATGGTCAGAACGAAGACGGAAAAGATGTTGAATAATAGATTCTGGATAGTCTTCATTCCAATAAGAATTACATATGAATCGATCCAAATGAGCGTGGGCGAGACCTCTTGACCAAGTAAAATCTGGTCCAGAATAACCCATATCTCTCAAACCATAGTTAAAGATTAAATTGTGGAATGCGAGACTTGGAATAGTAGAGGGAGCACAGCCCTTTCTGTTAGAAGCAATGATTTTAGCGTTAAAGTCCCTGAAGATGACCCAAGGCGGTCGCATGAAAGTAACTATATTTCTCAAATGAGGCCATAAAATCTTACGACTCGATCCTCAATGGACGGCAGTAACATAGAAAGAATTTCCACTCTACTTGGAGATGATACGAGAATGGATAAATTGTGTGATTAAAAATTATTTCCACCCGAAATCGTATCATACCAAGCTAACCAAATACCACTGGAAAACTCAAAACATTTATTAATTAGCTAAAAAGATTATATCGTAAGCATTTATTATTAAAAAAAAGAATAATATAATAATATCATACTGTCGGAACCGTCTTTTGGTTGGGCCCGAAATTGGGCTTCGACTTGGATTAAACGAATTGGAGTCGCCACCGACCACTTTAGAGCGAATTTAGGCGGGTCGGACACCATCTTACCTGATCTGCATTGTACCAGAAACGTGTCGAGTTCGGGAGTCGGTTACGGTCAAGGAAGGATTAGCACCCTTGAACCGCCCTTTCGGTACCAATTAATTTGTCAGTTGTCTTTATAGCGAAAATTAGAAAATTTAAATTACTCGATTCGAATTACTCACCTTTGATCAATTGGAATTTCTCTTTCCAGCGACCTTTCCGCTTCTGTTCTCGCCGTGCCTGCTCTCGGTTTCCCTTGGCTTCGGCCTTTTTATGTATTTCTTTACTTGTGTTTGGGGTTTGGCTTCAGTGATGTTATTTTGGCTCTGTTTTCGTGTGTTTTAGTATTGTTGATGATGTGTTGATGTTGTGATGTTCTATGTTTTTGTTGTGTTGATGTTCGACGATGGTCTCGTGATGGCGTCGTGTTGGTCGTGTTTTGACTGTGTGGTACTCGATGATGGTTTCTGGTCTTGGTTTCTTTGTTCTCTCGGTGTACTGTGCCCGATTCTTGGGTTTTCTGTGGATGTTTGTGACCGATCCCCCTGTCCCGTTCTGTCTGGGGGTATTTATACTCTCTCGGCCGGTGATCGTTACCGAACTTCACGGGATGGGTCAGTCCCGCGTGGTGGCGCGATTTTCGGCCTGTGGGAGACTGGGCTGTTGTGACTCGATTCTTGCGAGATTTGCGTTCTGTTATGGAACGTGTTTGTTGCATGTTTGACCGGTTTCATTTCCGGTGACGGCTGATGTTTCTGGCCGTTGAAATTGCTTCTGGCCGTTGGATTGGGTCAGATCCAACGGTCCAGATCTGGCTGCGCATTTGATGAAATATTTAGTGATTCAGAACCCTAATTATCATGTGATTTGAGCCGTTGATCACTGCTTGATCTAACGGCTGTGCGGCGATGGGACTAAGTTTAGAAACCCTAGCTTGGCAATTGGGTTGGGTCAGGCCCACCTGATATGCTTGGACCTCGTTCTGGACCCTGAACAGAAAAACAAAAACAAAATAATTAAATAAGAAATAATAATAAATAAAATAATTACAATAATAATAAATGATAATAATAAATAATAAATAATATAATAATATAATATATTATATATATATAAATATTTTAAAAAACATAATTTCCAAAATGTTTTTTTTAATTATATAACATATATATTTTAAAAAATGTTTTAAAAAAATTATATATTATATATTTTTAAAATATTTTAAAAACTATATAATATAAATGTTTTCAAAAGTTTTCAAAACTATATTAAATTTTAAAATGTTTCAAAACTATATATATATACGTTTCAAAAATGCTTTTAATATATATATATATATATATATATATATATATTATACATTTTCAAAATGTTTTCAAAGACTATATATATATATTTTAAAATGTTTTAGAAAAAAACATATATATATATCATATAATATATACTTTCAAAAAGTTATTCTCAAAATTATATATATTATTTTAAAACATTTATAAACTATAATATATAGATGTATAAATAAAAATCAGACGAAAATAGGTGTCTACAGCTGCCCCTCTTTGTTCTTTTTCGTGGAACGAAAAATAGGACAAAGATAGAAAAGACACCAATTTTCGTTCGGTGGAGTTGAAGAATAACTCCTTGTCGAATTGGGTTGCGGATGGCTCCCCCGTCGCGAAGTCGAGTTCATCTTGAAATGATATGGAATTGAAACGTAGTTTAAAATTTGAATCCGGATGCGGCTTCTTGTTGCCCAATTGTGGTCAACCTCGGTCTTCTTCTCGGTTTAAAGACATTGGTTAAAATTCGACTGTAAGCAGTTCCTTGACTCCACCATGTGATGATAGACCTTGAGCTGAATAAAGCCGAACTCGAAAGGTCCTCGTCGACAGATGACTTTTCTCGACTTAAGTTATGCTTTCGGAAAGCGGTTTTTTTGTCACTAAGGCACGGTTAACCCATGTGTTCTTCTCGACTTGAAAACCTTGATTGCAGCCGGACAATAGTGTGATTGAGGTGTCATCGAGCTGATTGGAATCGAACTCGACAATTTTATTGACAGATAACCCTTCTTGCCTTGAGCTATTCTGTAAGCTTGATTTGCCTCTAAGTTGAATATAATCGAACTCAAAGGTCTTTAGCATATAACCCTTCTTGACTTAAGCTATGCTGCAAATGATGTGCCCTCGAAGCTGAGTGTAATCGAACTCGGGGGTCTTTGGCAGATAGCCCTTCTCGACTTAAGCTATGCTGCAAATGATGTGCCGTTGAGCTGATCGTAGTCGAACTCAAAGGTCTTTTGGTCACAGATAACCCTTCTAGCCTTGAGTTATGCTGTAAATGATGTGTCGTTGAGCTGAGCGAAGTCGAACTCAAAGGTCTTTTGGTCACAGATAACCCTTCTAGCCTTGAGTTATGCTGTAAATGATGTGCCGTTGAGCTGAGCATAGTCGAACTCAAAGGTCTTTTGTTGGCAGAACCTTCTAGACTTAAGTTGTGCTGCAAATGATATGCCTTGGAGCTGAGCGTAGTCGAACTCGAAGGTCTTTGGTTGGCAGATAACCCTTCTCGACTTAAGTTATGCTGCAAATGATGTGCCCTCGAAGCTGAGTGTAATCGAACTCGGGGGTCTTTGGCAGATAGCCCTTCTTGACTTAAGCTATGCTGCAAATAGTTTGTTTGAAAAAAATGGCTTCCCTTAACGAGTCGAAGCCGGTCATGATTCTTCAGGTGATTTCTCTGAGCGAGAACTAAGTAAGAC